GACAGATTGTATTTGGGGCCTGTCTCAACGGGTATTTCAATTACTTTATTTAACTATTGGGTAAATTACAACCATCCGTAAAGTATGGTTAATTTACAAAAAAACCCGTATTGTTTGGATAATTCCATCTACCATCAATTATGATTTTTTTCTTACACCTCCACTCTTGTGGTGTCAAATTCGACATAATCATCTAGATTTCGTGGAATGTGCTCTAGTTTGTACTCGTTTTGTGTAAAATTACAGTTTGTGATGCACCACAATCTGATATATACAAGTCAAAAAACATGTATTATGATCATCTTGCTTCAAAATGTTGAGTTTGAATGGGATAAAATGGGCACAAAAATGATAATATTCCATATAATCTCGAAGATTCCACTAAATTTAAAACTGCAAGGGTGGACGCGTAAAAAGATTTATAGTTGGGAGTAATTGTAACTACCCAAACATGAGGGGATTTTTCGTAATTTGACCATACCTCAGGGGTGGTTGTAATTTACCCTTAATTATTATAGGTTAATAACAACCGCCCCCTCAGGTTAAGATTTATTTTTGGAAAAACCTTTCATGTTCTTATAATTACATCAATCTCTAGCAAATTCTGGATTTCTTACATCAACACCATTTTGTAAGGGTGGACGTAAATATTCTACAAACTATATGGGGCTTTATGTAATTTCAAAATAGACTTTATTTCAGGAAGGTGCCCTTTAATTATTTGAACACAGTGATTGTAGTGTTGAATTGGGTTTGGGCAAATTAAAGACCACCCCGAGGTAAGGTCAAATTACGAAACCCCCTTTTGTTTGTATAGGTGCAGCCATCGCTCAATTATGTATTGTCTTACGAAAAAACCCTTTCAATTGGTAAATTTAAAGGTGTTCATTCGGTAAAATCGTATCGAAATTTCAGTACGCCAAATTTTCATACCGTTTATCGGACGGTTCGGTAAATAACCGATTATCGAAATTTTATTAAAAATGTTTAAAAATTTGTTTTTGTTTTAATTTTTTTTTTTGTTTAAATACTAATATTTCATATAATAATATATATTATAAAAATAAAAAACTGAATATCAAACCGAATTATCGGTTCGGTAATCGGCATGTACCGAATTTTCGTTCGGTCGGTAAACCAACTAGATGACCAAGGCTATGTAAATTTGACAATGTAAGAATGAACGTATAAAAAAATACATAGTTGAGTAGTGACCATAATTACGCAAACGAAAGAGGTTATTTCGTAATTTAACCTTACCTCCTTGGGTTGACTGTAATTTGCCCAATTGGGGTTTTATCTACAATTAATTTCAAATTTGGTTTTATCGCCACCGTCTGCAAATAATTCGTCGCCGTTTTTTGATGCTTTCTATTGGGGAATGTACGAGGTGGGCAATTGAAACAAGCTTCGCAGGTACGATGTCAACGCTTATACTTGTAATGCAGCCATGTGTGTGTTCTTGCATTTATCTCTGTAATTGTGATTTTTAGGGTTTTCCGAGGTGCTGATTGATTTAAGAATTTTGAGCTGTTGTTTTATGAATGGGAGTAAATTTAGGGTTCTTACCTTCAATTCCTTGATAACTAAATACTAGGTTAGTCACTTGCCATTCAGATTTTATAATTAAGTTTCTATTTTATTGAAGAGAGGAGTGATTCTTATATAATTTTAATTTTTGCTTTCACATTAATATATATGAAGAAACAGAGTGTGGTAGCAGAGGGGGGGGGCGAAAACCCCCAAATAAACGCATCGTTTCGTGTAATTTGTACAATTTTTTATCCGTATATGATTCGATGATGATTATCGTGTTACGGCCATACCGATCTTTCTCACGATCCCTTTAGCTGTAAAAAGAAGAGTTTTAAGACAAGACAAATAGGGTAATATTCCGTGATATATATTGTTCGTCTAATGCGCTTTGAGCAATTAATTTCAGGTTTATTCAATGCTACACAAGATGAAGTACACCTGAGTTTGTAAGAAGCCGAACAGATTGCCAGCTGGACTACGGACTTGTATTTCTCCATGCAACCTTGTTCTTGAGAAGATTAACTGGTAAGTGAAACCTAACTGTCACATCTAACCCCCACCTAACTAGCAAAAAGTAAAAAAAAAATGAAAATCGAATGTAGTTGTCGTTTATCACAAAACTGCAATAAAATAGAGACACCGAATCTAAGTGACCGCACATCGTAGATTTGGAACTTAGTAAAGACACCACCTTAAATAGCACATTGTTTGGTTGAGCCTGCACCAAACGACAGTTCCTACATTTCAAGACTCGTGAAAAAAAAACACATTAAGATAAAAGGCATATCACAAACAACAAGGGATGGGGGTTTTTTCGTTTTATTTTAATGCAATACGTACAGGAATTGGATAAACTGCGATCTCGTATAATAGCCCGTAAACCATATAAAGTATTGTCAGCCTTGTACATAAACTTTTGGTGTACATTTGGTCCCAATGAATATCAAATCTTGACTCGGCTACTGACCAAGAGTTTGACCGGAAAAAAATGACTCTTGTTACACACCGTAGGTTGTGCCTCAATGGTTTGATTATCAAACTTTTCCCAGGAAATTTGAATCTTTTTCGTTAGAGCAAGAAAACGAAGAAAACTAGGTTTGGAAAAAATAGATTAATTTGTTTTTGAACTTTATCCTTACTGTGGGCTCTAACCATGTGCTTGGTATGGACTTTCTAAGAGATGTTTTATTTAATAAATAAATAAACATATAGGTACTTCCTAAAAAAAACAAAGGAGTGAAGAGTCAGTATCACATTGAATAGAATATGGATGCTGGAGAATTATGGATACATTCTCCCTCCATATTTAAATCTTTAATGGGTCCCCCCATATATATATGGACCAATTTTCCCATCAAACACTTAACTAAGTGTGGACCAATTTGTCTGTGTGTCTGCGTCTGTGTGTGTGTGAGAGAGAAGTTATATGTTACATCTGGTTATTTACACCAGATCTGTGTTAACAGATAAACAACCACATATTAAGCATAAATACGCATGAGTGTGTGTGCGATTATGTGGAGATCTGTGGTTAACAATCACCAGATGTTAATAACCGGGTGTAGCATAGAATTTAGAGAGAGAGAGAGAGAGATGGATAAAAACATTTCATCAAACACTTTGTACAAATAACTAAGGGAAAGAAAGAGAAAAAGGGATAAAGCCTCATCTTCCTTTTTTCTTTTGTACAAAAATGCCCAAATCAAAGTCTTGGGACTCCTAATGAAGAGGGCGCTTGCTTTTAACTAAAATCAAAATAAAAGAAAATTAATATAAAAAAAAAAGACAAGAAATAATAGAAACATAGGAGTCTGCTAAAAGATGGTCATAAAACACTGATTTTTCTGCCTTGTTTCTTTTTGCCAGATTTTGCCAATATCTTGTGCAACTCTGATTGCATCCTCAGATGCACCAGATATACCCCTCCTACTGAATCCAACTGCGTAAATCCCAGATTTACCCTTCCATCCATCTGCAAATCCTTCCTCGGAAAACAATTCACCTTCCTGCATTTCAATACACACACCAAAGGGTCAATTAAGTCATTTCACATATACCAATCTAAACAAATAATAAAAAATCCTAACACATCAAATTTAAATTTAAAAATAGGCCAAATGGTAACAGAGTTGCTGAAGGGCAAAATGGGTAATCCAGTTGTGATTAACTGCATGTGACTATTTCATCATCCACTTGAAGAAATCAATCCTCATCTGGAACACAGTTCCAGAGGAAAAAAAAAATCTCTGTTGCAAATATCTATTTTTCTAAGACATTAATAAAATAAAAAAAAAATTTCTGTTGTGTGTAATAAAAACACATTTCAATAACCTGACTTAGTGTGTGACTAGGTTCAGAACAGAGAATCTAGAGTGAACCCCAACTTCCATAACTGCCCTATACATACAAATACATACACACTCACAAAACACACACTAAAACACACACCTTTAGCCATGAAGGGACATTGCTGCAATATCCAGTAGCCAAGATAACGGAATCGATCTCGAGTTTTTCTCCGTTAATGAACTCAACCCCTCCGTTAAAAAACCTTCTAATTGCAGGTACAATCTTGATTTCACCCGTCTTGATCTTCGAAAGTGTGCCTATATCCAACACCGGTGTTTTCCCCTTCGTTTTCTTGAGTTGCAATGGCCCCACGGACGGCCGTTTCAGCCCGTATCTCTCTATATTCCCGAGAACAAATCTCGCCGCTAATAACAGTATCTTGTCCACAACCCAAATTGGCATATTCCATTTCATCAACCGAACACCTAATTCGAACGTCGATTTTCCCAATATTTCCCTCGGTAATACATGAACCTACAAAAAAAAAAGAAAAACTTTTAGCTTTTAGGTTTTTTAATAGCTTTTAGTTTTTTACGTGTTGCTGACTCTAGTTCTGATACCATGTTAAATGACTGGTTTTTTTTATCTTAAAAAGAAAAAAAAAAAAAAGAGTTAGTTTACTCACCGAGCTTCGAACCACCATCGATGGAGCGGCATCGTGGTGGCAAAGATCAAGAGCCACTTCCATTCCCGAGTTTCCGCATCCAACAACTAAAACACGCTTTCCACTATAAGATTCCCCCGATTTATACTCACAAGCATGCGTTACATTCCCGTTGAATAACTCCTTCAACCCTTCAAACTCCGGCACCACTTTCTCCGCGTTTTCTCCACTAGCCACCACTAGCCACCTACTAATATACTCCACACTCGAACCATCACTTCCGTTAACCGTCTTAACGCGCCACAAACCGCACGTTTGATCGTACTTTGCTGTCTGAACCGACTCGTCAAACCTCGGATTAATATCGAACATTCTAGCGTACGTTTCCAGGTATTCGATGAACTGGCCCTTCGAGGGGTATTTTGGGAAGTTCTGTGGGAAAGTGACGTGCGGGAGCTGGCAGAATTGCTTCGGGAGGTGGAGTTTGAGGCGGTCGTAGGTTCGGTTCTGCCATAGGGAGGCAATGCAGTTGGCCCGTTCGAGGATCACGAACGGAACCCCCTGCTGCCTGAGGCCAGCCCCCACGGCTAGACCGGAGGGGCCCGCTCCTACTATAACGGGCCCGTTTACGAGTATGCAGCGGCCTGAGAAGAAATTCTCGGGCTCGAAAGTGGGTTGCTCACAATGAGCCATCAAGAATGTGTTCTGTTTTTTTTTTTTTTTTTTTGGCGCTAAATGAAGGAATATTCTTGAGTAGTGAATATGACAGAAGAGAGGAAAGAAGAAGCTTCAGTTTGTTTTCTGATGAAAATGTGTGGAGGGGGTTTAGAGGTTTAAATAGGTGAAAGGTAGAGCCAAAAGGGTATAGTTTGTAATTATGATTTAAAATGGATGGTTTTTCTGTCTTTTTTTTTTTTTTTTTTTTTTTTTTTTTAAATTTAAAAAACTTATGTTTATATAGTTTTAAAAATTGGTTCAAGTTAGTCTTCTTCAAAGTTTGACTTTGCCTCTAATGTAACTACACTTTGATTAAACATGCCTAAAAATGTCACATTCTGGTCCTGATTTAACTCAAATTAGTATAGATGGCATGACTTCTCAGAGGGTTTTTTGGTTGAATTAATGTAGCATACATAATTACATATGATAGGAATTAAATTAAATATTTTTTAAAAACAAAACTATTCTCCAATCTCATAAATATTAAAAAAAAAAAAAAGTCGCCACGAGGCGACGGTGTGGTCGAGTGATCAACGCCGCCACACGTTAAGTGTGCGATGGGGACTGCCAATTTGCACCACCAGCATAGGGTGGCGTGGGTGGGGGGGGGTTCACAAATTAAATTCTCCCATTTGAAATATTGAATTTTTTTTTCTTCATATTTTTAATAAACAAAATTGGGAGATCAATAAAGATATATCAGCTATAAGCGCGCGCAGTGGCGAAGCTAGTATAAGGTTACAGAGGTCGTAGATGTCACAATTTATTGAAATTCTGTATTAAAAGATTATTATTATTTTTCGAATAGTATAGTATTGTGTGAGTGTATGCTGACTGTGTAAGTGACCCCTTGAAAAGCTCTAAATTGCATAATTGGCATGGCGTTTGCAGTATTTGTTGTTTTAGGTCCACTTTTGTTGTGCCTCCCAAGTGCAAACCCATGCTTTGCACATCTGTGGCAGGACCAAATTTAAAAAGCTAACATTATTATTATATACACATGTATAAAGATCAAGATTGTAAATTATATATATATATATATATATATATATATATATATATATATATATATATATATATATAATTTGAGAGAGAGAGAGAGAGAGAGAGAGAATTTGTTCATTAACTTACAATTAAAATTTCTATTTCTTTAATTAATAACAATTATGATCTTATTATAAATCTTCCATCTTTTTAATTAGTGCATGTAAAAATAAAATCGGTATTCTTTGGGCTTTGCTTACGTCGGCCCATCAAAGATCGCTACCTCGACTTTCAAGCCCAATAGATTAATGGACTTAGCATGTTTGAATTAAAATAATATCTATTTACAAAATACTCCCTCATTTTTCTATAATTACATCAACCCCTCTGCAATTTGTAAACTTCTTACGTTAACACCCTTTTAGGGGATTGGATGTAAGTAATTTACAATCTGCAAGGGGACTGAATTTAATTTTTCAAAACAAAAGGGTTCTTTTGTAATTACACTTCCCCTTACGGAAAGTGATTGTAATTTACCCTAATAATTAGAGAGAAATGGATATCTAATTAGTATTTATTTTTCAAGTAAATCACAAGACCCAAAACTTTCATGTGACCTAGTAACACAAGAATCAAGATTAGCTAGAAGGGGTAGTAATTATTAAATTATTAAAAAAACAATTCATATTATATTCATTGATTAATCATACTACTTAATTTGAGTATATGACACATTTTTTCATGGTTAGATCCTGTTAATGAGGTCGGTAATTTAGTTATGAATGAATGCAGACTATTTTTTTAAGTAATTAATAAATAAAAGCACCTAAAAATATGGTTTTAAAAATAAAATCAATGTGAAAGGGAATGCATCTATTGTAGACAAACAAATCCACCTCGTGCTACCAATCCTCCCAACATATCTATTCTATTGCATATTTTTAGTGTCTTTACTTTGGTAATTAATATTAAATAATTGTATCTCCTTTATATTTTGAGTAAATAATTAATATAAACCCAAATGTGTTAGTTTCTTGGAACAAGTTTCATTGTCCTTAAGAAATATTAAAATTCGTATGGGAGTTCAATGTATTATTAATATTTCTAACTTTGTTCTCAAGCAACTCCATAGATTTCATTGTCCACATTTTGTTTCATAAGATGATATATATGTGAAATGTTAAGAGTCGATCGTTTCAAATTTATCAATACTGGGTTTTTTTTCTTCGAACGTGACTTTGACCCTTTTCTAGTTTAGTTTTGGCAAAATTCAAAAAACGAAAAAATGTAGTCCTTTCGGTTAGCGTACGTAGTCCTGTCATCAGCCTCTAGCTACACTACTTGACCATGGTATCAACCGATGTGAATTGATTAGTTGTCGGTCGGAGTGCAAGAAGAGAGACTTTTTTCTAATACCACTGGAATCAATTATATTGGATGTCGGGTGAAAAAGTTATGCATGAATGAGTTGAATTTTGAATTGTAAACAACTTATGACATCAAGATTGTGTGCAATGTTCATTGGTTCATGCATATATTTCTGACGCGACATCCAATCTTAGTGACTGAAGTTGGATTAGAAAGCTGACTATAAGAAGTACAAATTACGCGCTTGGAATCTTGCCAAATTCAGGCTTGAACATACTGAAAATCACGTTTGAAGTTGAAACGACAATATTAAAACTGAAACGACATTTATCATATATATTTATAGTAAAAAAGTACATGTCTTCATCCAAAGAATGTATCCACAATTTTCACATTAAAAGACCCCCCAATTAATTAAACAATATCCCAAGAACAAGGTTCATACCATATGCTTTGTGATTTTTTTGCAATTTTATAATGCAACTAACTCTATAACTGTAAAAACTGAATTATCTTAAAATATTTCTGACAATATATATTATATAGTATGTGTGTTTGTGTGTTTGTGAGGATCACTCATGTGATCACATGACAATGGAAGAGATTGGTTTTTGAATTGGCCAAGAATGGCAAATGGGGCCTAAATAAACGTTATTTGTTTAATTCTCCCCAACAATTTATTAATTAATATCTTTTTTATTTTTTTTAATAATTGCCCACTAATATTAATTAGTATCTTAGGCACGTGCAGTCAAAGTTGAAATTAATTAGATCAAGTTACGAATTCGGTTATTTTCAGTTATGTATTCCATTCCATCTGTTTAATAATGGAAAATCGTGTTCTTATAGTTTATGTTTTTCCAAAATTGCCCTTCTGGATCTACTTCTAAAGCCCAATGAGATAGGGGCCGAATCTCATTGGTAGTCCATATATAATTTCTCTCATTTTAGTCCCTCTTATTTTAAATGTACCATATTTATCCCTTTTACAATAAATTTGTCTCAAACTAGTCCCTCTCCATACATTCTAATTAACTATTGCCCGTTTGTCCTTCGGGCCTCGGATGACCCAAAATATATTTTAGAAAAATAAGTACGAATTTGCACTTATAACCACGTAATTTGCACGTGAACTTGAAGTCTTGAACCAACACACTGCGTTAACATAATTTTACCACTTTTATCACTTCTTTTTATCGCATTCATTGATTTTCTAAAGTCAAAAACCTAACAACACACACTGCATTAAGACAATCTTTTACCACTTCTAAGTTGGTCAATCAAATTAAAAAGACGACGATCATGATTTATCTGGACCTACTGCTAAGAAAACCGATCTCTCAATCTGCAATGCAAGATTCACTGTTTATATTCTCTTCCTCCTCAGACCATTGTCTTTTCCACTGATGTTGATCTCAGGTACTGGTAGAACATAGAGGCAACCTAATTTTCTTTAGGTTTGTTCGCATAAAAAATATCACAAAATGATGTATCAATTTTAACTAAATAATAGGTTATTTTACATCGGGATTAGTGGAGTTTGAGAGGGGGCTGAAGTCCACCCTTGCAAAATGGTGGACCGGCAAGAAACATCGGATGCTACATCGATTTATCATAGTCTTGGTCATGCATGTAATAAATTCTTCAACGCATTAAAATATGTAGGACCATTCATCCGCAAGAAACATCAAACATCACCCAATACTTCCAAAATTAACCTAAATAATTTTTAATGCCAAATTCTATTATATATATATATATATACGAGGACCAAAAACGAAACCGAAAATCCGAAACCTGAAATCCGAAAAATGGAGGGGGAGCCCCCTCTCACGAGCAAATTTTGACAGTGTCATAAATGATTTGATTTATTGAAGAGCCTCTTTCATGGTAGGGACAACCATATGTATGGTGTGTTAGGTATGTATTTTCACGTACGTGTGGGGTAAGTGGTATAAATGAATCAAGAAAATCCAACACTTAATTTTACCATTAATCATGTTAAAATTGGTGGAACTTAATTAGAGGTGAAATTGAAAATGGGATTTTCGATTTACGCCGATTCACCAATATTCGAGCATTTTTTATTTCGGAACAATAATCTTCAATATAACTTCCAGATATTATGATTCCGTTTTTTTTCGATATATTTTGGACTGGATTTGGAATATTTATATGAAATTTTAATTTTGATATATGATTCTACAATCGATTTTTTTTTTTCGAATCCTACCGATTTCGGTTTTGGATAGTTTTTTCATTCCAATTTCCAGATTCAAAATTTTGAATTTTGAATTTATATTTGTTGGAACATAATTGAAATTGTAGTTTTCATTTTGTTAAACGCTCAGGCAATGAACTAGCACATGCCCTTGTTTCGACTCTATGTCATAGTGGTGGTGATGGTTCTGTCCTCCCATCCTCTCTTGCCAATTTGGCTTAATAAAATTCCGTTTTGTCAAAAAAAAACATAATTGAATTAATTTTACTAGCAAAAATATTATTTTTCTTTCAAAAAATAATTTCGATCCGATCTGTCCGATTGTAACCCCACCCCCCATTCAAACCATTTCAAATTTGCACACCTGCCGTTTTTTTAACAAAAGTTCCACATAGGGAGAGAGTTTTAGGAACAACACTAAATGCCCGCTCTCTTTCTCAGCTAAACTAGAGAGAGAGAGAGAGAGAGAGAGAGAGAGAGAGAGAGAGAGAGAGATGGGAAGTTGTCAAACGAAAGAAAAGAGCAGCAGCACCACCACCAGGCGTAGCGGCGGTGAAACGGCGGCGGTGGACCGGTGGTGATGGGGCTCAAGAACAAAGTAGTTCTTCTTCAACAAGATATAAACGAGATAATGTGCATACGAGAGACCGGAAACCAAATGTACGAGCGAGAACTAATGCCTTTCGCCTTCAAACAAGCGCACCAAACTCCGCAACACTTTAGCACACAAAGAAGAAACCCTAATTAATATTACGTACTGCATAAATAATAATGATAATAATTTGGAGGACCAAACAGCAATTAGGAGAGATGAGACTGTGGACAAGTGGAAGAAGCTCTATTTTGCCATCAAGAATGAGCTTGATCATCTCATTATTCAGACCACACATCAAGGTTAGTTAATTAATTAATTAGCAACAGTGTTTTGTGGGTAATAAGGTTTTGATTGGTTCGAATCGTTCGATATTGCTCTACAGCTCTTGGGCGAAGACGTTTGAACAAGTCGAAGATGCAGATTTAGCTTGCGTGGATGCAATGGTTCCGTTTCTGGAGAGTATCTGAGTATGCATTCTTAATCTATATATTTCAATTTTTATTTTTTTTTGATTTCGTTACGTTTTACTTAAGTTCGTTTTCATATATTAAGTTCACCAAAGCCATATATATTATTTTTCATCGCTCAAGTTTGCATTGATTTCACATTTGGTTCCTTATTATAATTACAAAAAACACATTTGGTCCATTGTGTTTCAATAATTCAACACTTTTGGTCACATCCGTCTATCCTCCATTAGTCCATCAGTTGAGACAGTGAGGGGCACACGCTTGATTCCTATAGGACTTACGGAAAATTGACGAAAAGGACTACAAAGGTTGAATTTTTGAAACATGATGGGCCAAATGTGAAATCAATGCAAATTTGAGGGACGTAAACTGTATTTCCCCCATATATATACAAACACTAGAGGAAACGGCATATCGAAAAAATAGGAATACGAGAATTTGGGGGAAACATGTAAATATTAAAAGTATAAGGATATATTTATAAATATTCTATATAAACATGTATAAGTTTTTATTTATACATAAATTATTTTTATATATTTTCATACAAACATATTCAAAATAAATTTTACTATCAACTATCAATTTGCAATTGACTATTACATCATGTAAATAATTAGGGAAACAACAAAAAACAAATTTCGTATGTGGTCCCCATTGTTTCTTAAAAAAACAATTTCGTCCCTTATGTTTCAAATTTTAAATTTTTAGTCATTTTCGTCAATTTTCCGTTACTAATAATGGAATCAAACACGCTCCCATTAGTGTATTAACGTAATGACTAATGGTAAATTGACGGAAAAACCAAAAAGGGTTAAATTGTTGAAAATTGAGGGACTAAATCAGTTTTTCTATGAACTTGAGGGACTAAATATGAAATAGAGGTAAGCATGGGGACGAGAAATATATTTTATCCAATAACAGAATATATTACGCTCAAACGAATCGATTGAAATAAATTACAAAACAGACATAGTAGTTTGTAACAAGATTTGAAATGGAAAAAATTTAAATTATTTAATGATATAAATATATATATATATATATATATATATATATATATATATATATATATATATGTGTGTGTGTATCGCCCCATTCTTCCCCCCAAATTATTTTTGCTTTTTTTTTGGCCCGTTTATTCAGGAAACGGCGTCGTCTCTTCCCCTCCTCCCAATCAGCATCGTGCATTTTTTTCTTTTCCCTTTTCATCCGAAGCAGCCTGCTCGAAGATTAAATCAAGCTGCCTGCTATATCTTTCTTCTTTTCTTTTAATATATAAATAACAAACTACAAAGTAAAGATTAAACATGGCTATCAAAGAAATATCACGTCTTCCAGGGAAATTAAATAGTCGAAAGTATCCTATTGAAACTCCCCATTAAATCTCTCGTTCGATTCAAAATAATTTCAAAATCGTGGAATAAGAATGTAAAAATTCAAGATCGCACGATCTTTTCCTCAGTGACGGGGTGGTACTCTTAATAGGATCTCGCACCCAAATTTTTATGTTGTGGAATCCGTCAACTCGAACACATTGAGTGTTCGAGCTACCTTACGATGGGGATGGTGAGAGATTTATCCCTACAAATCGTGGGTTTTGTCACGATAAACTAGCTGGTTTTAAATTCGTTGCAAATGAAATGTTTAGGTATATAGTCTGATAGGTTTAGGTATATAGTCTGAAATGTTGCAAATGAAATATTGATGCTTAAATACTACCCAACCTCCATTAATGCATAGTGGCCATTATTTAATTTCACGGTTGATAGTGGCTGAAGAAATATTTTTAGATACATTTTAGAAGGTTAATGGCAGTATGGAAAGATTTTTATGGAATTTCTAGAAATATCTATGCATGTTTTAGAAATATCTAAATTGGGCGCGGAAAATGTCTTAAATGGGCGTGAAAAATATTTTCATACACCTGTTTTTGACGTGGAAATTAATAGCGCAGATCAGCAACGAATAACAGCCCCAAAACGCAATTTTCTTGGGTTTTCACATGATTAACCACAAATTAAACATATAGCTAATTTAGATGAGAAATTACTTTCAATTTAGAGAGATTTTCGGATTTAAGAGGATTTGAGACAATTGTTGAGGGTTTTTGCGAATTTTGGGGCTTTTGGGGTTTGGTTGGGTTGATTTTAGAGGGATAAGGACAAGAATACAATGAACGGTATTTTAGTACCATGTAAATCATTTCAGGTTTGAGAAACAATAAACTTTAGTCGCACCAAAATTCAAGAAAAGGAAATATTAATAAATAAATGAAGATATCTTATATATAAAAGAAAAATATCTTTATATATAAAAGAAATGTTTTGCCCGAAACCTTAATTCCAATTTTGTAAAATATTTATCCGTTTACTTGCAAGTCAATATATTTTCTTTTGTTTTTCTCCCGTCAGTTTTCTACATATATATATTTCCACGTTTAAGAAGAAACCGTCCACTTCTCCACTTATGTCTCGCTCGCTTATAATTATTATAACTCCTCAGGCAAACTTCCTTCTTCCCCCTTTTCTCGATTCCATATCCCACGATGATCTGCCTTATCGTTCATAAGTTCATAGAAGCTTTGATTCTTCCATAAATATTTGTGAAATTCTTCCCACTATTTATGGATTCTTCTTCTACGCTGTAAAACATTCATATATTCTTCTTCCTCTTCTCGCTTAAACTGTCCTCATTATTTGCTGCAATTATTCATTAAACTTTTGTGTTACATCATCTGTCTCTGCTCTAAAATAACGACCATATTGATTATTTGTTTTTTGCATTGCCTGCTATATGCCTCATGTATATCTATGGTATCTCTAAATTTATTTTATATAATTCCAATTCCAAAAGTGTTGAATTATTGAAACATGAGGGATCAAATGTGATTTTTCTGAATATGGAGGACCAAATGTGAAATTGATGCAAACTTAAGGGGTGAAAAGTTTAATTTTCCATTTTAAAAACTGAAAAACCACGCCACCATGTATAGTATTTAATCAAATCGTGTAAACTCGTAAAATCACCCTAATACACTTCCACAATTTTAATGAAATTTTGAAAGACAAGGAAACTTAATCTTCTAATTAGTTAGAGAAGCCCAAATTCCATACAACGTATAAAACTATCTATCTCTCTCTCTATAGTCTATATATATATATATATATATATATATATATATATATATATATATATATATATATATATGCACAAACCTGCTGCAAATCGAAGCCGCCAACAAACTCCAAAACCATGGCTGATGATAAATCAGATCTCCCACCGGAAATCATAGAAATTATCCTATTGAAACTTTCAGTTAAATCTCTTCTTCGATTCAAGTCAGTTTCAAAGTCATGGGATACGATGATCTCCGATCCTGTATTCGTCGAAAATCATATCCAAAAATCTAAGGAATCGAACTCGCATAACCTTTTCCTACGTCGTTCGAATTTGAGTACTTTTATCCGGTTTTCGGCGGTTAAATCGGAAGATAAAAAATTCCAAACCCTAGGAGTATTAACGGAGACCCCCCCTTCGAATGTGGGTCGGTATTATGCCTTTGTGACTGCATACTACTCTTAACCGACGTTCCATACAGGAGGCTTGTGTTGTAGAATCCATCCACTCGAACCGCGGAAAAGCTTTGGAACAAAGATTGTTGTTGTTATGCATCTTTCGGGCTTTGTCGTGATCCAAACACCGGCGATTTCAAGGTTGTTGTTTTGGATCGGCAGCACTACATACTCTGTTTATTCTTGCACGAACAAATCCTGGATTACACTGAGAAAGGAACACGATGGTCTTGGTCTAACGATCACAAATCCGAGTGGACTCTGTGTTAACGGGGCTAGCTATTGGGTTATGTGTTCCATTACTACAAAAATAATGTATTTTGATCCGAGAGATGACAAGTTCAAGATGCTGGATAAGCCGGAACAAATAGACGACAGAGTGGTTTTCTTGGTTAATTTGAGGGGCTCTTTGTGCCTGTATTGCTATTTCGAAGGCGTAGAAAAGAGCACGGTTCGGATTTGGGAAAAGGAAAACGGCATAGATAATAGTTCTTGGAAGGAGTTGGTAACGGTTGAATATGACTATGTGTCGATTTTTTCGGAGTTGGAGCCACTATGTTTTATCGAAAATAAGATTGTATTCAGAAAAGATTGTGATAGATTAGTAATCTACAAGCCTTGCGAGAAGAGTTTTGAAGCTTTTGAAAAGGACACGCCGGTTAGGGAAATTGCTATGCCTCCGGTTAAATATATGGAGACTTTGTACTTCCCCATTGATAAATCGAAATCGAAGCCGAATAGGAAGCGAAAGTGTTTGCAATAGAAGTTTTATTTAGCACTGAATTTATTATGTTTTATTTTCTTCATACATTATCTAGTTCAATATCATTTTCCCTTTTTTGCACTTTTTACCCTAAAAATTCAAAAAAAGGGATACTCCTATTTTGAAATACTATTTTGGTTGCACTTTGCGTTTCGACAATATATGTATTAAATACTTGTGAGATAATTATCTTCAATCATTAATTATGTTTACCTTTGTTGAACGGTCAACATATTAATATCACATTATTACACAATAATAATGACTTTTGTTGTGTTAATATTATTGTGCTAGAGATGTAATAATGACTTTTGTTGTGTTAATATTATTGTGCTAGAGATTAATTTAACAATATTGCTGTGTTAAAATGTAGTATAGTTAATTTTACTGTGTTGAATAGTAATATAGTTTATAATATTACTGTCAACCACAAAAATACCGATCTCTCGATCTGCAATGCAAGATTCACTGTTTATAGTCTCTTCATCCTCGGATCATTGTCTTTTCCACTAATGTCGATCTCGAGTGGTAGAACATAGAGGCAACCTAATCTTTTTTAGATTCGTGGCTTTAAAGTATCGTATCGATTTTAATAAAATAATAGGTTATTATATATCGGGACTGAAGTTCACGCTTGCAAAACGGTAGACCGGCGGCACACACAAGAAGGTTCAATGGGGAGTTAGGCTCATAGGATGCTACATAGATTTATCATAGTCTTGGTCATGCATGTAATAAATTCTTCAACGCTTTAAAGTATGTAGGACCATTCATCCGCAAGAAACATCAAACATCACCCAATACATATATATATATATATATATATATATATATATATATATATATATATATATATATATATATATATATATATATATATACGAGGACCGAAATCGAAAATGCGAAACCTGAAACCTGAAACCCGAAAATTAGGGTGGGGGAGCCCCCCTCTCAGGAGCAAATTTTGACAGTGTCATAAATGATTTGATTTATTGAAGAGCCACTTTCTTGGTAGGGAAAATCATATGGTGTGTGTGTTAGGTATGTATTTTCACGTACCTGTGGGGTAAGTGGTATTATTGAATCAAGAAAATCTAACCCTTATTTTACCATTAATCATGTTAAAATTGGTTGAACTTAATTACAGGTGAAATTGAAAATGGGATTTTCGATTTACGCCGCGATTCACCAATATTCGAGCATTTTCGATTCGGAACAATAATCTTCACTATAACTTCAAGATATTATGATTCCGATTTTTTTCGATATATTTTGAACTGGAATTGGAATATTTATATGAAATTTTAATTTTGATACGATTCTACAATCGAATTTTTTTTCGAATCCCACCGATTCCGGTTTCGGATAGTTTTTTCATTCCAATTTCGAACTTCGAAATTTTGAATTTTGAATTTATATTTTTGGGAACATAATTGAAATTAATTTTACTCTAACAATATTATTATTTTCTTTCCAAAATAACTATAATTTCGATCCGATTTGTCCAATTGTAACCCCACCCCCCATTCAAACCATTTCAAATTTGCACACCTACCGTTCTTTTACAAAATTTCCACATAAGGAGACAATTAGGAACTCCTAGAAATAGTTTTAGGAACAACACTAAATGCACACTCTCTTTCTCTCTCTATAAATTCAAAACAGCAGCTAAACTAGAGAGAGAGAGAGAGAGAGAGAGAGAGAGAGAGAGAGAGAGAGAGAGAGAGAGAGAGAGATGGGAAGTTGTCAAACCAAAGAAAAGAGCAGCAGCAGCACCACCACCAGGCGAAGCGGCGGTGAAACGGAGGCGGTGGTGATGGGGCTGAAGAACAAAGTGATTCTTCTTCAACAAGAAATAAACGAGATAATGTGCATACGAGAGACGGAAAACCAAATATACGAGCGAGAACTAATGGCTTTCGCCTTCAAACAAGCACACTGGAACAGAGAGAACAAGTCCCTCAAAGATGAGCTCATCAAACTCCGCAACACTTTAGCACACAAAGAAGAAACCCTAATTAATATTACGAGCTGCATAAATAATAATAGTAATAATTTGGAGGACCAAACAGCAATTAGGAGAGATGAGACTGTGGACAAGTGGAAAAAGCTCTATTTTGCCATCAAGAATGAGCTTGATCATCTCATTATTCAGACCACACATCAAGGTTAGTTAATTGATTAATTAATTATGCTTGTGCTCTTTTTTTTATCATGCAATCAAGAAAATTTCAGTTAATGATTAGGGTTTTATTATGTCTATAGTCTATAAAATATATATAACGGTCAAATCTATATGCTATGGTAATATTTTATCGTCAGTCTTCACACACCAACATGGGTATGTGTGTTTTGTGTGTGAATAAAAGAATGATATATACACCCGCCCAATAGTGTAATTATATTCACCCATTGTAGCATGGGATAAACTTACAATCGAGTAAGGCCCGATGATCGGTGAATACACATATTTTTATCTATGTACTTTTAATTTATTTATTTATTATTATATATTATTATTAATAATATTAATTATTAGTTATTTTTGTAGAAGAAAGAGTGATGTGTTGGAATATAGCAGATGAGGAAGAGGTGTTATTGGTGGAGATGACGAACGAGCTGAAAGCCAAAGAAGAAAGAATCGAGTTTCTGCAAAACAAGTTGGTATCGATGGAACTTCAAGAATCGAAGAGGGAGAGAGAAATCGACATTTTAAGACAAAGTTTAAGGATTATGAGCCACAATAATAAACGTTTTTAATTAATTAGCTGATTCTTTTAAAAACGTGTTTAATTAATTAGTACTTGTCGTTCTACATATGTTGTCAAATTGAATACTTGACAAATTAAATTGCCAAATTTGCATTGGTACTCAAAATTCTATTTGTTTATTACTACATTTGACAAGATTCATTACACATAATTCTTAAATCAAATGACAACTTTATTATTGCTACCTAAAATAAAATAAAATAAACCAAAACACTATCTATTTCTAACCATAGCTCTTATTTCATCTTGGGATCGATCTTTATTAAGAAGTCCCAATGCAACTATCGAAATTAAATAAATAAATAAAATAATAGAAAATAACCAAATTGCCCTTCTCTCACTTCTTCTCGCCCATGCCAAGAGTGTTCTTCACACCATCAATGGCGCCTTGAGCCATGTGAGCCACCTGCTCTCCGGTCTGTATACAAAGGTATGAAAACAAAAAAAAAACAAAAAAGAAATTGTGGTGGTATTAGTAGTTTTTTTAATATTAAAGGAGTGAAATGTAATAAAAAGAGAAGTTGAAGGACCTGTTGAAGAAATCCAGCACTCTCCTCCTTGCTTCTATGGGCCTGCTCTTGGGTTTTGCCCGCTGCATCGCAGGCCTTATCATGGGCCGCATGTGCTGTGTCCTTTGCTGAGTCAACCCATTCCTCCGCCTTGGCCTGTCAATTTATTAATAATATTAATTAAGATAATCTGATAAAAAAATATATTTATTTATTTATTTCAGAATTGTTTTCATGAGAATAAATAATTATGAGTTAATTGCAATTACCACCCCTGTGAAATCTCTAATTGTCAAATAACCCCCTGTCAAAAAAAATTAACTCATACCCCCTTGTGTAACATGTTTTGAAGCACACTGCACCCATTGTCATTTTAATCTATGACCAAGCGTAAAAAGACGAGAATGCCCCAGGGCTTTATTGCAATTCGTAAATCATATTAGTGTTTATAATTTTTTTAATAGTTTTTCAATTTTAAACAAAAAAATCGAAATATAATAATAATAATAATAATAATAATAATAATAATAATAATAATAATAATAAAAAATAGCTCGACAAAAAAATGCCCTCCGACGCCGACGACCTCAATTTCCGTCCGCCGCCGCTCCCGTCTTCTTCCGCTGAGAGGAGCTGCTTCAGTAGCAAAGGCGCCGCCACCAACGACCAAATATATGTAGAAGAAGTCGAAACCCTCGTCTTCTGGGCCAAGCCTCTCGCCGGAAGTCAACCCTCACAAGCGGCGTAGCAAAAGGGGAGTCTCCCAAGCTCCCAAAACCAAGAAAAGAAAACCCCACAAATGTAGTCTAGAAAATTCATATTAGACTAACAAATCTGAACAAAATGGTCCATGATTCCTCTTGTAGAGAAATCAACTTGTGTGATAGAAAAAATTAAAATCATCAAAATCATGCTGGCGGAGATGGAATCATCATAGATCGTGAGTTGCCGATTGAATTTCATTATCCGTATGTGGGTGGTGGTGGTGTGATGGCGGAACAGAGGTGGTAGTGTTTGATTTGTAAGAAATCAAACTTCCCCTGTTCTGCTGCCCAGAGGAACGCGAAGAAGGTGAGAGCTGGGCAATTTTTTTATTTTTTATTTTTGATTTGGGGGTGTTTCTGACATTTCACACGCAAAAAGGAAGAAAAATTCGCACTAGCAGCGCGTGAGGGACACGATTTACTCGGAGGGGCCTCGATGCCTTGACTTTTGTTACACAGGGGGGCATGTGTGAATTTTTTTTTGACAGGGGGGTATTTGACAATTAGAGATTTCACAGGGGTGGTATTTGCAATTAACTCAAATAATTATTTACTGCATGTAAGAAATACCTGAGTCTGGCCGTGGCTTTGTCCTGCGTTGAACTGAGTGCTCGACATTTTTTCTTATATAATAAATATATATGAAATAGTTTTTGTTTTGAATGTTTGTAATAGAAAGTAATTGTGTTGTGAATGATTAAAATCGTTTGAGTTTATGAGGTATTTATAGTGTTATTTGGATTAATGAAGTAACGACACGTGGCAATTTTTAATCGGTTGAAAAATTGTTGGTGATGAGTGATTTGCTGCATGCTGCCTTTGACTTGTGCAATGTGAGCTATTTATTGTATACAAGTTTTAGCAAAGAATGTGCTTCTCCATGCATTAATGCGATTGTTAATTGTTTGTTTTTTATTATGTGTTAACAACAATTAAAATCAAGTTTTAATTTAAATTGTTATTACTTTTCAGCAATAATGTTTATTATATTTAAAATTTATGATATTTTGTGAAGTTGTTCATGAGTCCTGCACTAGAAGTGCAAGATTAGCAAAATAACAAGAATAATTTAGATGGTCCTTGCTTTAATTTTTTTTTATATATATATATATATTTTTTAAATTAGCTAATTCACCTTCGACATTTTTTTTAGTGTTTTTGTCATTTTAACGTTCCCCTAAATTCCAGAATGATAATTCATCAATTATTTAATAATCCGCGAAACTAATAAAATTTGTAGTCCCAGCTAATTAATTTGTAGATATTTAACTGTGACGTGAAAATCAACATCAATCAATCAATTCCGTGAATGCAGGTCGTTGATTTCGACCATTGGCATGATCGAAACATGTTTACAGGCAGCGTAACTTTGTGACGGATCGTTTAGGCGATTGTGCGCATACACATCGAACTCACCAGGAAAATTTTCGAGTTCAAACATCATATCACAATGATCGCACCGGAAAATGGATTTTTCGACCTTAGCAAGATTTGCACCGACTCAGAAGGCTTCGCCGTACGCGAGTATATGGTGACGCCAAATGCATATTAATTCAGTCGTTCATAGTCATCGATTTATAGGCTTTGGTTTATTTGCTATTTTGATTGTGGTAAGCTTAAGAAACATATATAGTTCATACATACTCAAGCTTTGTAAGATAATTCATGGCCTCTGCATTTCTGCATCACAAAGTTGACTTCTTCCCATAAGCAATTTATTACATAAACTGAGGTTTTTCATGTCAATTATATCTGTCATACATCAGTTACCAAAAAAAAAAGTTTACACATTGCACACAACCTAGAGAGTTACAAGCCGTCGCCGAAGAAAATAACTTGAAAATTACAAGAAAACATAACTTAGCGCAGGTAATAATACAACCAACGGAGCTTCAAAATAACCCTTATTTCAACGATAGAAATAGATAAGGACGTTGCAGAATGAATCAACCTTGACAAGAATGTGAAAAAAACCAGATATAAGCACAACAGATAATGAAAATGTCGTTAACAATAGACGAAGCTACAAATAAAATTTGAAAAAATCAAATGCATACAAGAAAGGGGTATCAAGAAGATCTAAAACTCTGTCGAAAATGGGAAAAAACAATTCTTGTAATAAAAACTTCATACATATAACAATGCTCCGGAAAACGAAATGAATTTGACAAAATTCAGCTTACAAGGAAAGGCCGCTCATAGCTTTTACTAATAAAGTGCTACACAATCTCGGCATTAGTAAATTCATACCAAAAGCAATACATCTTATCCGTCGTGTTTATGATAGGTAAGAATGAATTTTGATCTGCATAAATCAATATATACAATCTACAATGTTTAATACTTTATACAAGTGTTGACAACTATATCCGTGGATTATAATCAACCATCCTAGTAGCACGGCATTATTTACGAGCCCTACGAAGAATAAAAAACAAAACACACACAAAGAGTAAACATAATAACCAATGATTCTCACAACACAACATCAAATTAACGATTCCTCGTAAGAATCAACAAGTCATGTAAATTTCTAGCAAATCGAAAAATTACCTGGAAGAAGAGCAAGGAGCAATAGAATCAATCGTCATTCGAACAGCAAATTTAACTGATGTTTATCGAATACCTATTAGATTCGTGGTGGTTTTTATCGAATAATTCATGTGTGCAATGACGAAAAGAAAAATCATCAACTTAGTGGATAATCAACTGAATGGAAAATGAACTCTACTTAATCAGGGTTTCACCCAAAAAAGGGGGGAAAAAACATCACAAACAATCGATCAATCACAACAAGAAAATCCCCAAAATAAGATCTAGAAGAATCGGAAAAGGCGAATCAATCAATATATAAACCATAGAAGCAACACTAGATTAAAAAATCGAACGCCAGTCAATACATAATATTTTTCATCTAAATTAGGATCGAAGAAAAAAAAAAAAAAAGGAAGGGGGGGAATACAAACAGTAGAGAATCAGTTGATATCTTCGTCGTTGAAATCGTCTTGGAAGGAGTTGAAGAAGTCGGAATCAGCCAGACGGTGGAGATCCAGTACGGGGCCCTCACCGAATATATCCAGAGATGAATCCACGTCGTCAACGTCCATCGCCACCGTGACGCCGCCGCTCTGCTCCTCCGCCTCTCCGAAATAGTCCATCGCTAAACTCTTCATTCTATTTCTCTATCTCTCTCCCTCCAATAAATGGGTTTTTTAACGGGTCAAAAAAAATCGGGTCAGATTATTTTTTAATTTCGGGTAATTAGCACTTTGCACCCTTTAAATACACCAATTTGGCACATTGCATCCTTATATTGCAAATTTGGCAATTTGCACCCTCCAATTAGGATATTGAATGTGCATTTTGCCAAGCAAATACTAATTGGAGGGTGCAAAGTGACAAATTTCTAATTTAAGGGTGCAATATGCCAAATGATGTATTTGGAAGCTGCAAAGTGTCAATTATCCTTTATTTTTCGACGATTTCGACTTAATATTTTATAATTTTTAAACAATATTTTTTAGTTTAATTTCGGGATGATATTTATAATTTTTTTATGTAATGGAATATATATAGTTTCTTAAATTCAATTCGATTTTAATTTAAGAAAATAATAACTAGGATTCTGATTTTACTCCAAAATTATATTTACAATAAAAACGGAGTTTCCAAATTTTCGAAATTTTCCGACTTTTTGTCTATTTAAAAAAAAAAATTGAAATTAGTCTCTCACTTGTATAAAAAATTAAAAATACATTAAATGATTATGAAGGGCTAATCTAAATTCTAATACAAGTTCTCATACCACAAAATAATTACTTGTATGTATATAATTTATAAGAAAAGAAAAATAAATAAATAAATTTAATTTTATGACATTACTTACAAAATAATAAATATATAAATACACTTTAGTAATTGGATAAGAGAATTGTGGCCGTGGCGGCAATGGCGAAAGCTGCCTTTCATCTCCACCACCACCACCACCGTACTTTCCTCCTCCTACGTACCCAAACAAACCCCCTTCCCCACTCAATTTCCATCTCCGATCACCGTTTTCTCCTCCACCTCCTCCTCTCCTCACCGCCGCTGCGCGTGAGCTGCAGCTCCCGCCGGTGGGACTCCAACGCCGAATCCTACAACTCCAAGAACCTCAATTTCGAAGACAACGATGAAAGCCAAGGATTTTATGACAGCACTACGGACCAGTGGGATGTTTTTGATGAATATATTGACAGCATCTGGATTTTTAAGGTTTTTTTTTTTTTTTTTTTTTAATTTCTCGTATATAAAAAATATTGTGTTGATTATGATTTCTGCAATGTGGGTTTTAGCATATACTTATAATTTAGAGTTGATTTACGAAAATTAATCGTAAACTTGATTTCTCAATAGGTACACAGGGGGGCCATGACCCCCTTTAAAAAAAATACAGTAGTATTATTATACATAGAGATTTGTTATTTTTCGAAATTAAGTTTAAACGTTGTTTTTTTTCTTTTCAATTTAGGTTTTTTCGTCGTTCGGTTGGATGCTTCCGATTATTATAGGATCGTTGCTATTGGCGAATGGTCTGAAAGCTTTTCTATTGGCGTTAGCACTTCCTCTCGGACAATCGACTTTTGCATTCGCTATACAAAAGTACCAAAATCGGGGCAAGACAAAGACAAAGGCAAAGCCCGTTAATACTAAGACCAAGAACCGAAGTTCACGTTCCTATAATAAATCGAGGAATTCGAAGTTGGAAGAAGTTGCGGAGTGGATTGGTAGTGAAAGATCCAGAAAGAAGAAGAACAAGAAAAGGAATAATAATGGATATCAATCTTGGGTTTTGAAAAACGAGGATAAGTCGATGAGTAGCATCGATAGAAGTCAATCCGATTTCGGCGGATGGGATGAGTTCGATGAAGGGACGAGGTTTTACGAAGAATCATCTAGAAGGGAATCTCGGGAATCGATTGGATTGGAAGGGAATCTTGTAGAGAAGAAGGAAAACAGGGGATTGAGTGAAAGTTATGGTCCTTCATTGCTTAAGTTGTTGGTTTCGATTTTTCCATTTTTGAGCTCGTGGATGAAAGTGCTATAACGTTTTTTGTAAGCTAATTGTTGGGGTACATAAATCACTACTTGTCTATTTACATGCATAAATTATCGAGGAAATTTTGTTGGAAGCCCCTCAAAAATATTTTCTATAGCCGAAAAATGTTTTTAGCAAGTTACCGATTATAATATATATGGTTATAATTAAATTTGGTATTCGTATCAATTTATTTCCTCCATTAATTTTGGATCACGTGAATCTTTCAACTTTCATGTAAAAGACCTTCTTCCCCGTGACATTTGGAGGTAATCCCAATAAAATTCTTGAACATTAATTTCATTTTAAAATTATTTCTCAAAAACTATTTCCTAAAATAAAATTAAAATGTAACTCAAAATACTTCCAAACGGCAATCTTCAATCTTAACAATGGATTAGAAATTAAAACTAGCATCGTTGACAACTTTTTATACAAAGAAGCCTAAATTTTGAACGAACTATAGTAAAAGCACAAGAATCGAATTAAATATAATCGAACGATATCGAAATATATTAATCTCTTGAAGAAAGACGAATATTCGTTTTAACTTCCGTAATTTGTTCCGCCTAAATCTGTTCTCCCATTTTGGTATGATTCTGCGGATCATCCTCGTAAGCGTACGCGAATCCCCCGTGTCGGGTCAAATCCATACCCGACAATTCGTCGTCGGGCGAGATCCGAAGAAGGTTAAGCTTATGCAGGATATAGAACAAAGGCCCCATTGTTAAGCTGACCCAACCGATAATCACCACAATTTGGATAATATGGGCTGCCAAAAGCCCGTACCCGCCACCCATGAATAACCCGTACGGCCGACCCGGTTGGCCCGGGTACACCTCGTTCACGTACTTTTTCGTAGCGAACAAACCCGTGAATATGATGCCCCACGCGCCGCAGCCGCCGTGGAGCTGCGCCGCCTCCAGTGGGTCGTCGTATTTCACCTTCTGCGCCAGCTTGTTGCACCCGATGAGCACCAGCGCCGCCACGAACCCGCAGATCACCGCCGCCCACGGCTCCACCACCGAGCAGCCGGAGGTGATGGCGGCGAAGCCGCCTAGCAAGCCGTTGCAGACGTCGGTCACGACCCAGTGGCCGGAGATTACACGCTTCGTGAAGAGGGTAGTCAGCGCGGCGGTGCAGCCGGCTAGAGTGGTGGTGACCGCCGTCCGGCCGACGGCGGACCACTGGCCGTAATACTCGCCGCTTTTGTATGGGCTGAGGATCTTGAAAAACGATCCAGGGTTGAATCCGTACCACCCGAACCATAGCAGAAATGTACCCAGCACCACCAGAGACGCGCTGTGGCCGCGTAGCGCCACCGCCCGGCCTTCATGGTCGAATCGGCCGATTCTGGGGCCTTCGATTAATGCTCCGTACAAACCCGCGATTCCGCCGACCATATGAACGACGCCCGACCCGGCAAAATCGATGACTCCGGATCCGAATAAGAGGTTTTCGGTTTTTCCGGCGCTTGCCCAGCCGTCGGTTGACCAGAACCAGTGAGAAACAACTGGGTAGACAAATCCGGTGAGGAAGGATGAGTAGATTAAGTATGCGACGAACTGGGTTCTTTCGGCGATGGAGCCGCTGGTGATTCCGGCGGCGGCGATGGCGAAAGCCCATTGGTAGAGGAAGAAGCTGTAGTCGAAGAGGGAGGAGGGCATCTCGCTCAAGCCGAAGAAGTGCTTTCCGATGAAGCCGTTCGACGGCGCGCCGAAGGCGAACGCGAAGCCGAAGAGGTAGTAGAAGATGCCGCCGGCGGCGGCGTCGAGGACGTTTGTGAGCATGATGTTCATGGTGTTCTTGGCCCTGACCGAGCCGGCGCAGAGCATGGCGAAGCCGAGCTGCATGGCGAACACGAGGTAGGCGGAGAAGAGGATGTACGTTGAGTCGACGGCGTAGGATGTGTCGACGAATCTGTCCGACACGGCGGTGAACTGGCCGCAGATGTAGTCGGCGGCGGCGGCGGCGTTTGTGATGTTCTGCCCGAAGAGCGGCGCGAGCTGCTCGGCTGAGCAGATCGAAGAAGCCATGACCGATTGGCTTCTGAGGAGAGAATAGAGAAAAAGCAAAGAACAGTAGGGTTTAAAAACTGGAGAGACTGTTTCGGAATAAGAATGGATGATTCAGTTTTGATCCGAATTAATAGGGAGAACAGAAGCCTCAGTGTGAACTGATATATATATATATATATATATATATATATATATATTTTTTTTTTTTTTTTATTTTTTTTTCTGTTATAATAAATTAATAATTAATTTATAATGTACTACGCAAAAATTAACTTTGAAATGGAAATTATTATACAGGAAAGTATATAAAATGGGATACGGATTAAAAGTACATAATATCTGAATTTATTCGCTCTAGATTTTAAAATTCTTTTACTTGTTTTAATCATCCAAGATTTCTTTTAATCTATTTATTTGTCACTATAGAAGAGTGCGGCGTCTAATAATTCGATTTTATTATAGTTCTACGAGACTTAGGATTTCACTTGTATAATCAATTTAATTATGCATTGTGGCCAAACAACGAAAATTATGTGTAATTAATGTATATTAAGAATAAAATCATATTGCAATCATATGTACTTAATATAAGAAAATTAAAATAAAGAATTCAAATTTGCAGAAATAAGTAGAATTAATTAGATTTGTTGGTAAATGGTAACTGATGGAATCTTGACCAACGGTGTGCGAATGATATGCAGTTTGTTTTATTAAGGTCGTTGGATTTACTGGTTTCTCGGGGGATCAGAATCTTGTGGTTTGTGTTTTTCAAAACAACAAATAATAATAATAATTAATTAACTTTTTAAAAAATCTTAGGGTTTGTGATTTTGCTATGTTTGAAGAAGGTAAATCAGATTTTGGCTGTACTTAGTGGTTTTATCTATCCTACGGATCCCGGTGAAAGTTACACCGGGTGATTTTTTACCGTTGATCTACACATACCAATGTGGGTGTGTGTGTGTTTGGTATATGATATTCTTTTTTTTTTTTGAAATCAGTATATTCAATGCTTTTATTCGTAATATGAGATTATTGAATACGTTTAGATCTGATTTACCAACAATAACAAAGAATCGGATTGTAAAATTATCATTGAGATTCACTATAATCACTAACCCTTAATTATCTTTAAATAACTATTAAAATTTACTTTTATCTTACTATAAATGCTTAATCGCACTTTGCACCCTTAAAATATAATTATTTGACATTTTCCTCCATCGAAAAAAATTAATACCGCTCTCTTGGACTGTGTGTCTAGGTGGGCCCTAGCAGACTGGACCCTATCCAAGTGGGCTTTGTTTCATGGGGGTCTTTCTTGATTCGGATCAAACAGTAAACTAGAGATGCTAGTAAAATTATAGAAATTAACATTGAACTTCTAAATTTAATTTTGGGATCTTAACAAAATATGGTACTAAGTTTATGAATGTTGGCGGAAAATTATGAAAAATCGGAAGTGAAATTGAACTTCTGATAATCGATAGTGAACTTTTGAAAATAAAAAGATGAATTTACAAAAATGAAATACTTAAACAAAATATAATAGCTAGGTTTCGAAAAACATTTAAAAATTCTTCGAAAATTGACATTTAGCTTACATAGATAGTATAGTAGCGAATTTCTGAAAATTAACAATAAAATTCGAAACTAAGAAAAGGTCACAATCTTTATCACTAATGAAATAAAATTTGGCGGACTTTCTTTAGCCAAGTTGTCACATAAAGAAATCCCATTTGTCAATTGTCACTTTCTTACTTTTTTACCCCTCTGTATTCCTTAAAATTACTGTTAGAATCTCTGTAATTTTACCTGAGCCAACTGCTTCCACTCACTCTTCACCTAGTACCAAATTACCAAAACGCCACCCACATTTTAACTAATGCAGCTCCTCTGTTTCAGAGCACCGTACCCCCTCTTCTTCCACCACACAAGGGCATTTTCGTCAATGGCTCCCACCACCACCTCCTCCTCCGCCGCCGCCGCCGCCGTCAGCCGAGCCGTGACCACCAAGGCCAGCCTTCGAGGCGTGGTGTTCGACATGGACGGAACTCTAACGGTCCCCGTCATCGATTTTCCGGCGATGTACAGAGCGGTGCTCGGCGAGGAAGCGTATGTGAAGATTAAGTCGGAAAATCCGTCGGGAATTGATATTCTGCATCACATTGAAACATGGAGCCCCGATAAGCAGAAAAGAGCTTACGAAATTATCGCCGATTTTGAGAAGCAGGGTTCCGATCGCCTCCAAATTATGCCAGGTTATAGGCTTAATTTTTCCCCCAATTTTCCCTGTTTATTCGTAAGATTGATACTTATTTACCAAGTACTTATCCAGATTCATGCTGAAAATGTAGTATACAGCATACCTAATCATGGTGGCAAATACCTGGGCACTGCTTTGATTAATTCAGTTAGATGAATCTTCACAGTATAAGATGCAAATTCCTTTAGAATGTTTTTATAACTATCATGAAGTGAAATCATTGATTGGTACATCATGTATTCATGTATTCCGATTTGCGTTTAGATCGCATGCCATTTACTTATTTAGACGAGAGTAAACGGGGTTCTGTATTTCTGGCATTTGTATGTATATATGTATATATGTATCGATGTCTTCTGGGAGTTTCTATAAAATGGTGTGTTAGTTTAGGGAATCGAGCATTTATATTGGAAACCTCACGAAATGAATTAGGAGGATTCGATTTCCAACATAAGGAGTTCTGTTTTGAACTTACAACCTTTTTGATGCATGGACCCTGGAATTGCACGAGAGCGAGAAATGTTTGGATCTGTCTTTGCTGTTCTTGGGCATTATGTTACGTGTAGAACCCTCGAATAAAGGATTCAACTTACGCTTTAAAGTTATGCCTTTTCAGTATACTGTAAATTCGAAGCAAGAGTTTGACGAGAAATGAATTTGACGTTGGTTTTAACAGTTCAATTTTGTTGCAGGTGCTTCTGAACTTTGTGAGTTTCTCGAGTCTAGGAATATTAGGTAAAGCTGTCTCTACATAACTCAGTATAGTTTTACAATTGATTTCAGCATGCTTAATCTTATTACTATAGCTTGCCCGTATACATTATCAGGTTATCTTCCTTCCATAATCTTAAGTGTTCTTTGTCTTCTTTATCTTGTTTTATCCTCTGAAAAAAATTAACTACTGAATTGGGAATATCCTTTTTTTCTGAACATACGATAATACGATCAGAAAACACCTTATCGCTTATCAGTATAAAGAAAACTCATTTATCCTAACTTTTTTTTTTGAATTGTGAATCTTGGAAATTATGGTTTTTGACATTCTTTTGCTGTTTACTTTTATGGTAACCAACCCTCGTCGTACTTATGTTTTAGTATTATACTTTGCATCTCTATATCATGGAATTGTTGATTTTTATTTATTTATTTTGTTGGCGTTAATTATCATTTTCAGAAGAGGACTAATCACTAGAAATGTCAAGGAAGCAGTCGATTTGTTCCATCTGAAGTTTGGGGTAAGCTTCAAAAAGCAGATTTTCTTTATCCAGTTGTTCATCTATAATTTTGAGTTTTTGACAGATTTTTTACACTTAAAAATATTATTATTGACAAACAATTAATTAACTTAACAAATGTTTTTTCGCTGCAGAAAGTATTTTCTCCTGCACTGAGCAGGGAGTTTCGACCTTATAAACCACACCCAGCTCCTCTGCTACACATATGTTCGAACTGGGATTTGCAGCCCAATGAAGTTATGATGATTGGGGATAGTCTTAAAGACGATGTAAGACCATTCATTTCTCGTCATAATCAATAAATCGGATATTTCTTTCTTGCTAATTCAAAGGTGTTGAAAATTGAATTTTTGTGGGTGTTAAAAAAGGTGGCATGTGGGAAAAGAGCAGGAGCTTTTGCTTGTCTGCTAGACGAAACAGGAAGGTACGATGCACCTGAATACGAAGACGTCAAATTTAAACCAGATTACAAAGTGTCTTCTCTTCTAGAAGTCCGTTCGCTCCTAGAGAAAAATTTCGAGCTTACTTCTTGATCTATAAGCGCATTAATTTATTAGTACCTAGATATGTTTTCTTGGTTATTGGACTTTGTTTGGCGAAATTGACCGCCAATTGTTAGGAATCCTTTCTCATATTCAGGTATAGCTATTCTCTGTATTACAATTGACAATCATGCGAGACATTGCTCGTGTCTCGCATATTTGCACGACTCTTGTATGTGTACATCATACACATGTATTTATAGGTTGGATTTCAATAAAATTTTCGCCAACTATCCTTTTGTGGATTTTTTTTATTTATTTTATGGGAATACTATATAATAAAATTTTAAATATTGTGGTACTATTTTTCTGTAAATAGTATATAATAAAATTTTAAATGTTGGAACTTTATAATTTGATTGAATACCTATTTAAATATTTTCATTTTTTTATAAAAATAATATGTAAAAAAATATTTTTTATAAAACTCGGAACCGACTTCTAAAAGTTTTTATCAGCTTCCGGTAATCCAACTGTACATGGATCGGTTGATATTTAATCATCAGCAAATTTTATGGATCCAAAACGGGTTGATTGTCGGAAAAAAACCCATGAACTAGCCCCCCACCCCGAACTGCAGGCATTATGTTGCTATGTGACAAAATTGACACTTAATTGTCTCTTAAAAAAGGCTATAGAAGATTACGTTTATTAGGCTTTTTCGACTAAGAACAATCAGAATCACCTCTCGATTATTGAAAAACCGTCTTTGGTTTCAATCTCGCACTAGCTAGTACAATAACAAAAGCCACATCAGGCTGAGAGAAATTACGGGGGGAAAAAAACCGGAGGGAAAATTCAGTAGAAAGCTGTAGCAAAATTATGCTGGTAATTATTAATATTAGCACTGCCTGTGAAATTTCCATGGAGAAGATATTCTTCGTCATCCAAATTCCAGAATCCATTATCCCATATAATCGTATCCTGATTATTCGATACCTGATCATGAGTACTCACGCAGCTCGCATAATCATTAATCATCGAGTACAGCAGTTCTTGATCGTGATCAAACGCACTCGGATACGCATTTTCTTGCCTCACCTGACCGAAACTCGTCACTGACCTGTTCTCACTTCCGTCGGTATTAAAAGACACGATTTTCGCCGCCGTGCCCGTTATTTGATGATCTCGTTGCTGTTGAAACTGCTGCCGCCTGAGTAGTTTGGCACGAGTCTTTTCCGGGGTGTCGGGGGACGATTGCGTAGCCTTCTTCTTGAAATGAGTCCTCCAGTAGTTCTTGATTTCATTGTCTGTTCTTCCGGGTAGGCTTCTTGCAATTGTTGACCATCTATTTTTCACCAACAAAAAAATTATTCATATTTACAGAATGGGTCATGAACTTTCTATTTATTAAACTTGCACCCCCAGTAATTTTCAAATTAGTACCTGTTACCCCATTTAGCATGTAGTTCAAGAATAATCATTTCTTCATGAGGGGTTATTTGCCCCCTCTTGAGATCTGGCCTCAAGTAGTTCACCCATCTCAATCTGCAGCTTTTTCCATTCCTTTTCAATCCTGAAGTATATTAACAATTAATTAACCAAAAATATATTATAATTAAATCGCTAATCGAATTTGTAACACGATTTGAATTTAAATAAATAAAAAAATAAAAAAATATATACCTGCAAGCCTAGCTACATTATTCCATCTGCCTTCACCATGCAAATTGACATACTGAATGAGTAATTTGTCTTCTTCAGCAGTCCAAGGACCCTTTCTCCATCCTTGTTCAATCACACCCCATCCCATATTTTGTGACATTTTATTAATTAAATTATTACTATATATTATATATATATAGATATATGTATATATGTATATGTTTGTTTTTTAATAGGTTTGTTGTGTGTGTGTGTGTTTAAATGTTATGTTTGTACTCAAAATTCCCTGACATGAGGTGGTTGTGTTTGGTGCATATTTATATTGAACATCCTAATTAGCCTAAGTATTTATGTCATTATCAAACTAATTATCATTGTCACCTCTTCACAATAAGCTAAAGATCAGCTCAATCGTAATGCTATAACATGTTTAAATTACTCAAATACCCTTTTGTTTTTTTTGTCAATAGATTTTCTAAGTATGTTTTGACGGATGCATATGAGCTATAAACGAATTACTCCCTCCGTTTCGTTTTCTTAAGTTGCGTTTTAGCAATTTTTTTGTTTATATTGCATGTGTATTGCGTTCTTCAATTTTAACGCAACCTTACCCTAATATTAATGACAGATTAATGAAATGAGAAGACGAATATAAAAAAAAAAGTAAAAAAAGGGTAATTTTGTCAATGAATTAATTCATCTACTTTGAATGTAACTGAAGAAAACATGGAGGTTGACATAGCCGTTGGAGCAAGTGTGTCCGTGTGAATTGACTATAGTTCAAATTTTCTTGATAGCGGTCACTAGATCGAGTTTATCACAGGTTAGCTTATGTCGAGCTAAACGAGAATGTAAAATTATTCAGTGCACCGTTAACACAGTACACCTATATGCTTTGGCTGTGAATTCTTTAGTTTAAAAATATAAAATCAATTATAATATGCCATTTTAAAACTTGATTTAAGGGCAATTAAGGCAACACGTTTTTTGGCCAAAGGGATTTGATTTTCAAAGAAAGGTTAAAAAAAAATTAATTACAAGAGGCCACGTGGAGACTAGGGCTTGTGAATCTAGACACTAGACTATATATTAATAAGAGTTTAAAATAAAGCACTAATTGTCTTAATTATTCCAATTAATAAAAACAAAAACACTAGATGGGTGGTTAATTCTTTAATCTTGAAAACCACTGCATGGCCAATGGCTACTCACCAGGTGTTGGATTTGCTTGCTTCTTAAGGAGATATAGGCTAGCTAATCATCATTCTTTTTATTAATTAAATATTTGTTTGATGCTATTTTGGGCATTTTAGCCATTTTAATATTGGGCTAAACGTACCCTTAATTACGTCATTAGGAGACAGGTGGTACTATTTTGATGGGTCTGGTTATGACAGTGTGCTTCATTAATTATTAAAATATTGCCCCAAATATAATGTTGATGCATGTATAATTAGATTGTTGAATTACCACCTTATTTAAAATGTTTTTGATGATTTAATATTGATTTTATATGTTAGTATTTCATTAAACTAGGATAAGAAGAGTTGAAATGGTGGGTGGGGGATGCTTAATATTTAATTAATTAATGACATAATTATCTTTTGATTTGGTTGGGAATTAAGGGAATGTTAAGACATGACAAAGATTTTCTAGAAGCATCATCACCTTTTTCTATTTTATAATTTGATATTATCTGTTATGTCTGATTTTAGCTGAATCATCGTAATTGCGAGTCCTAATAGAACTTTGTTACCATTTTGATGATGCTAAAATATAGCTCACCTAGGGTGGTGTAGAAAATGAGCTGGGAGAGCAAAGCAGATCAGTAGTTTGACAACTTGATGATCCTGAGGTACCTGGCGATCACGAACACACGTGAACTACGCCGGGGGTTGATCCGGCGGAAACCCCTCCGACGCTCTAGTCAGACGTGCTGATCATAGAAATAGTCCAGAGAATACGTATTGTAGTATTGCTCAGTTAATAGGACATACCTTAATAAAATGAGTAACGCTCTATTATATGTCGTTAGTGGGTTGGGTTTGCTTT